GCAATTGTTTGCCCAAGGTCATCTACGATACGATTTTTCAAATTCAGATTTCAAAGCTTGAATATATTCCATGAGAGATAGTTTATCTTGTTACAAATTAATAAGTTGTTTGCAAACTTGCTACGATAGTTTGAGGAAGCTTAGGTTTCATCTCTTGCCATGTATTGATTGACAACAATCTCAATTTTCTTAAATCTCCTTTAACACTAAACCATCAAATTTTTGTCATACCTACAAGTTTCATCTTGGCAAACTTATTCTCTGCTTGTCCAAAAAATTCTATTTGGTAAAGCATTCTTCAATATACGTAAGCAAACCAAAGAATATTTTAATATCATTCATTCCATCAAAATCTTGTATCTATCCTCATATGTCAATATTTAAATCGTATAACATAGGATTTTTTTGGCTTTGATACCAAAATTGATATAGGACTGACGAAATCAAAATACGGGTTGTTTTGGGGCTATGAACAGTAATGTGAACAGTAAAATAGGTTGTGAATAATAAGGTCCCTTGGACATCACACCTGGGGCTTGTTTAGATGAATTTTAAGGAGTTGGATTGGCTTCTTCAAACCCTTCTAAACCAAACCCCTGTTTGCAAAGATGAAATCAACATTCAATCTGGTCCATACCCATATTTTGTATGCAACACATACACATGTAGAACTCATCGATATATCATAATTATAACAACTATTTGTCCCGTAAATAACTATTTTACCGTTGACCAATTCAATTCATACTCATGTTAATGAGTACAATTGTCTTTTGAATCCTTAACCTTACCCATCTTCCCAAACCCACCCCCTAGATTTGACGAAATCCATGATCATGGGTTTAATCTTCGGATTAGCTACTGGCTGGATTTGAAAACCCGAGACTAAATTTTCGATACAAACAATGAGATTTGGGGGTCCTTTGGACTATTTTTTCCAAATTCATCTTGCCAAGCACCCCAAACCCCCCCCCCCCCCCCTCTTTACCAAACAGCCCCCTAGGGGTTAGAGTTGCATTACACAACTCAAGAAGCATATAATTATTGAAATTCTGAAATATCTCTCTATCCTTTATTAAAAATATCACTAACTATATATAGAGTTCTAAGTACTCCTAATCCTAGAAGATTAAGGATTCCAAAGTCTCTAAAATTCTAAAAACTCTAACACTAAAAATAAAAAAACTAGGACTCCAAATTCTAGCATATCAATCAAAATTCTATATGAATTTTTGTCTTGATGGAAAGCCAATTTCATTGTCTTTCACATCTTCAAATTTATGTTTCCTTGAGCAACTTATGGATTGCATTGGCAGGTCCACTGAATATTGCCTTGAGGGACATTTAGCTACTGCTACATAGAAAATTGGGTTACGATTGAATAACATGCCATGATTTCAAAACCTACAGTCCATAGAGAGGGTTGTTTAGAACATACATTTTTTTATTTTTTATTTTTTACAAAATATTAAAATTGAACCAAATGTAAATATGTCAAGGATGTTGCCTTAAAAGGCTATTGTGCACTGGGTCAATCATTTAGACAGGTCTAATCGACAAATAAGAGAGCATTCAGTTTCAGTTTTAGGATTTTTTTATCCTGCTCTAGATAAGAGTTGATGTAGTTATGGGCCCAATATTGTCTCAAGTAATTGTTATGCACTCCACAAAAGAGATTGTTTATCTAGAAGTGGCCCAACATTACAACACATGCCTATTTCACAATACCTAAACCAGAAAACTGGAAGTTCAAAATTCATATCACAATCTGCTTGGACAGAAACAACCATCACTTTGGAACAATTATTATAGAAAAAAGCCATCGTATCACCACCTATAATGTGCACACAAAAAATATCATAAAGAGGAAGTTCAAATGCTAAGTACACACAATTTTGCATTGAGGTATAAACACACCAGTGCACATCTTGAAAATTAATAATTATTCCCTTTTCATGTGCAAGTAGGCAAGCTATGACAAAAAGTCGATACCATTTACAACAGAGAAATTCCTTCAAAAAAAAAAGTACAGAGGCATTCCAACCAACACAAGTGCAAAAGTTTGTTAATTGAATGCCCCCACATAATTTTGATTTACAGTCTGCATGTAGCCAGGGGCAGAGCCAGGATTTCTCCGTAGTGGGGGCAACCTAATTTCATCCCCATCATTAGTTCTTAGCCTAGGATCTGCATCAAGAGTATCTAAGTTAATTTCATAACAGTGTTGCTCAAAACAATATCGTATGTCACTACCTTATTACTTTTCTGAGTAGAAGGCTGTTTTCCAATCGTGATTTTGTTTTAAGATATTTATCCATAACTCATTTCAAAGGTAGTAGAGTAAAATTATTTCAGTGCTATCCATAAAGCAAAATATTTTAAGTAATCCATAACAAGTAAACTGCAGATAATACAATCCAAAATCTAATCCAAACTAGAAGTTGATGTCTTCAATCAAAATATAGACATAGGGGAGAAGAGAGCACTGGCCTAGTGCCAAGTTGAGAAGACAATCAATTCAAAGGACAAAAATTAATATTTGTCATGACGATAATGTATAACAAAGTTTGCTTGAAGACTAACACTGGTAGAGATATGTATTTGAGTGGGTAATCTATGTCAATCAACATTGACCAACCCTTCCTTGTGAAGTTCTAAGTGCTTGATAAAATAGTTCAATTTTGCAACCCTGGTGGTATTCTACAGAGAATTTCTTTGATTCTCCCACATAGCCATGGTTACTGTGCTCATTAAGACACTATTGGCTTGTTTGTTAATTGTTAGGTGAAGTTTGTCAGTTAGTTGTTTGTTAAAAGGCCAAAAAGAACATATATACAGAATGACATGCAGTAACTAAGAAGTCTTTGAGGAAATGCAGTCTGCAAAGATATGCAGACGAGATTTACACCAAATGCTAGGACCACTGGGGGTTTTAAAAAACATCATGGTTCTAATCCCTAGTCAGCCAAATGAACAAATGAACATACACGAACACAAAAGAAGTACATAACAATCATCATGACATTCATTTTACATTATTTATTTACTTTTGGGGGCTAAGCAGTATGATCTTTAGTTGCGGCGTTGAAACAATGCTCAAAATATTGAAGGGTCCAAAATGCTATGCAAACAGAAGTCTAGCAAATTTTTATCTTGGGCTTTTACAGACACTAGAAACACATGCATGCAATCTCAAATTTAATCAGATTTTCTAATTGGCAATAGCCAGCAATCCAGCATCACGAATTATCACGAGCCACACAATACAAACCAGCAAGACCACTTTGAAGTGTATATATGAATCCACATAAAATGCATACCAGCCATTAGCACTAATTCAAATAATAAAATCAGAAAACGCCATCTTTAAACAAAAAACTGAAAACATACAAATCAACACAGCATACCTCACGCCCCCAATATCAGTGCATGAACTTAATATGGTCTGGTCGCTGTGAATCCATGAACAGTTCTAACTGAACCGGGAGAGTTATCAACTTCTCTTGGAGGTGCATCTGGACGATTTAAATCAAATATGCGAAGTATTTTCTCAACACCACCAGTGAGTAGAAGGTGTGTATCCTGTACAATGATCAAAAACTTCAATTCAAACAGCGTCTATCAAACGTTAAAGGGAAAAACACTCGGTTAGTTCCTCTGTATCTAGAGAACATCGATCATAAGAAATACATATATCAAGCTGAAATTATTGATTGTAATGTCACAGCTTCTAAATACTATTTTTGGTATTGAGTTAATCAACTATAGGAACATATAATCATATTTTAAACCCATTTGAGACAACTTAAAACCTGGACAAAACTGGGTAGTACATGCAAGTACTACTCTAAATCAGATAAGGAGGGTGGAGGGAAGCTAAGTGTGGGAAATAATGAGACAAAATCTATATCCCAAAATAAGGACTTAAAAACTTTGAGAATAGACAGAAGAACATATGGAAAAAATATTGCATATGCAAAAGGGCTGCAAGCAAACTGAGTTGTTTGGGCCCAACTCATTAAATGGGTGCAAGCATGTTCAATAAAGCAACAGACTGAGATCATCCATTTTCAAGCTCATATAATAAATGGACCAGGTCCAAACAAGGCTCAGCTCAGCTTAGTAAGCTCATGGACAGGTGGCAATATTGTTAATACTATCTATGTACAACATTTAAAACCTGTACATAAAGCGAGGCGACACTCGACCACCTCTTTATCTCATTCGGAAATTCATTACCTGTTCAATCACAAGAAGACATTGACTAGTATCAAACAATTTGATAAACCAAGAACCTCTTTCCAACTCAAATGAAAGAATATAGGAGCTATGACATTAATGTCCAGTAACAAAACTGAATAAGATGCATTGCAAACCCACAGAGCTGCTGAAAATTGTGCTCAAAATCATACTTGGCTTGGCTTTGCTTGCTTGTATGCAACTCTACCTCATTGAAAACAGAAGAGACAAAAAAAGCAGAAGCCACTCAAAAGTGTAAAAGAAAAAACAAACTAGAAGAAAAATAATTTGAAATACCTCCGAAAAGGCACACGCCCGAACAATGTGCTTGTGTTCAAACGAGTGCAATTCATCCCCGGTTAATGCATCCCATAATTTTCTGCAAAACAACTGAGGATGAATTAGAAAACAAATCAAGAATCATCATTTGTGCATGTCTAACGTCAGGGCCAAGAAGAAGCAAAGCTTCAAAGTGCGATCAATATACTAATAAAAGTCTATTACCACTCAAGCATATGTGAGAAATAGCAATTTTAGGCTAACATATAAAAACAATTTTGTACCAAACATAACTAAATATGAAAAGGCTTTGATCACATACGCAGAGAAATCAGCAGACCCAGATGCAGCGCGCAAAGCATTTCTATCCAGGCAACAACTCCACACAGCACCTTTATGACCTTCAAAGGTTCCAATCCAATCTCCAGTCTCGCCATTTCTCAGCATCGGGGTGGATCTGAATAACAAAGAAAATAATTAAGATGTTATAATCAGACAAGATCAAATACACTATTAAATTATGTAGAGGTCTCAGAACAGAAAATAATTCAAAGTAAAATTTCAGGGATGGCATGAGAAAACACATTCCTGGGATTGATGAGGAGATCACAAATTATCGGCACCAGAAGAGATCACACATATCTGTTTAAACAAGAAAAAGTTAAGTCAATTCGTAGTTACCCTTGCTGGCACTGATGAGGAAAAACCCATCTGGCGTAATTGGGCTGTAGAACAAATCGACCACTGGACGAGAATGCCCATGGCAGACCAGTGGAACTGCGACCTTCTTCTTATCCATCCTTCACAGATTCAAATACACCACAACACTGGCTATAGATGATCTTCTAATTAAACTGACAAATAGATATTACTAAAGCACCTATCCCTAAAAAAACGTCAAAGTCCTCGATCCTAACAGCAGGAATTCAAGGACCAAAGCCCTAAAAAACTGACAATTGACCACAAAAAATACAAACAATTGCCTGAAGAAAGATGCGATAGTAGGAATAGAGAACTGTATATTGTGATTGATTGTATCAAAAAATAGAGGACACAGAAAACAACAAACGATCTATGGTAATGGCGGCAATCAATACAGGTGGGAAACCCTAAATTAGAACTCTGATCGCTCCGATTTTGTACGAATCCACACCTCCTAACCCTATCAGATCAGATATCTCTAAAGGATATATCGAATCATCCGTTATTAGAAAGAAAGAAGATAGAAAAAAAAATACAAACTACAGACTGACCATAGGGCTAGGCGCAAGGAAGGAGATGGAATACGCCTGGTTTTATACTATAAATTGATTTTTTTTTTTTTGAGAAAATTATAAAAGTATGCCTCATAGTTTCTAATAATTTGAACAGATGACTTCATAGTTTCTGATAGTACATGAGCAAACCCACCCACACCCCCAAAAAAGGGAAAATTGTAACCGCACCATTTTTAGTTTACCATATCTTCAAGGACATTCTTTCGATTTTTTGAATCTTCACTGATAACCTTATCAAATTAAAGGTATTAATTAGAATGCATTTTACTAAATTACTTATGATATATTTTAGAAAAAAATTATTCACACTCCCTTTACATAAGCATATCTTCAATGAGATCTCCTCTATTTTTTAAATTTTTTATGTATTACAATTTGGGTCAATTAAAATTTAATTCGAGTTAATTAAAATTTATTTTTATATATTAAAATTTGTGTCAATTACAAATTATATTTTTTACGTATTAAAATTTAAGCTGATTAAAATTCTATTCGAGACTCAAATCAAATTTTAATTAATTCTTATTAAATTTTAATGGGCCTGATTTTTGATATATAAAAAAAATATAAATTTTAATTGACTTAAATTTGAATACGTAAAAAATAAATTTTAATTAACTTGAGTCAAATTTTAATAAATAAAAAAAATATAAATTTTAATTGATTCGAAACGATTTTTAATAGGCTCAAATTTTAATATGTAAACAAAAATAAAATTTAATCGGCTTGAATTGAATCTTAATCTATTCAAATTTTAATATGTAAAAAAAAAGAATTTTAGTCAACACAAATTTTAATATGTAAAAAAATGAATTTTAATCGAATTTTTATATAAAAGATTGTTTGGGGTTTATGTAAGAGCAATTTTAGTATTTTAGATAATTTATTTTTGTTATAAATAGTGATTTAATGACAGGGTGTTAGTGATGTTTAAATATAAATTAGAAGGTGTGTAGTGATATTTTTAATAATAGAGAAGATATATTTAAATATATGATACACTAAAAACGATGAGACTGAAATTTTTTTTTAAAAAAATCATAGAATGTCCACAGAAGGAACGGAGCTTCGAAAAATTTTCATTCTTTCTTACCATTTCACCAAAATGGCCAAAACATTCACACTATTGTTTCTTCCCCAACTGTTTTCTCGCTATGACCTCTCAGTGGAGACTGGAGAGAGGAGTGAAATTGATTTTGTGAGAAACACGTGTGATTGTTGGTTACGAATACTTTGGGCAAGAAAATAAAAAATTTCCAAGATATTTTTGTTCATGAGATTAATTTAGGGTCGTCTTGTTATCTATATAATAAAGTGGTTTACAATTCAAATTTCAAAAAATAAACAAAATGACTTTTGTTATTCGCGATTGAGATTATTTTAAATTTTATTTTAAAGTTAATCTAATGACTAATATTAACGCCTTAAATTTAATATGAAAAATAGATCCCTAAGGATATCTTTGTAGTGATTTTTTTAAAATATTTTTAGAAATTATTTCTCATAAATATTTTTTTTTTAAAACAGTGTCTGAAACCGTCTCACCACTACTTCTACCACCGCCACCGCCACTACCATCGCTACCACCACCACTGCTACCAATGCCACCACCATCGTCGCGGCCACCCCCATCACCACCACCACTACTACCCCTCCCACCACTGCCACCACCTCTGCTGTCGCCACCACCTCCACCATTGCCACCACCACCGCAGTCATTTTTACTTACCATAACCATCACCATCTCTTACTACCACCACCACTGTCGCCCACCACCTCTCACACCCACTACAAATCGATACTTAAATTATTTTATTTTTTTCTATATTGTGATTTGATTTTGGATATAAATACAAATATATTTATTGTGTTATTATTTTTTATTACTCTGTGCTTTTAGGCACATGCAATAACTAATAATTTTATAAGTGATGCAACAATTCAAAAATTATTATATTTTATTGTACAAATAATTTAGAACAGGTTGAGGGCACCTCGAGATTCAGATCTCATTGTCATCTACCATAGTACAAGTGGTTAAATGTCTATGTTAGGTTTGTTGTCTTATGAACTTAAAAAAGTCATAAGCTCTAAGAGAATTATCTTTAGAGACAAAGAATCCACATTTGGAACCTCGTCTAATGTTAGATAATTTGAATAAGTTGTCTATATATGTTTTGCGCCTTCTAAATATTATATTCGGGGTTAAAGTAGGAATACCCTTAAAATAAGTTCTAAATCCATCAATAAAAGAAAAGCAAATGGAAGAAATGGACCGAGGAGCAGCTTATGGGGCACATCGAAAGAGATGTATGGTGTGAGCCTTCTCCCCAGTAACTCCTAGAGTTGCACCTTTTCATTTGTCAATTGATAGAGTAAGGGGAGCTTGCACCTTGGAAGAGACTTGACCAGCCTACTATAGGCAACTTGAAGGGTAGCATCCCCTAGGGTGATGATAGCAGATAAAGAAGAGGTTGCAGAGGTATTGAAGTTTGGAGACACTCCTTTCACTCGAGAGAAAGGCATCCTTGGTCTTTTGCGAGAAAAAGGTTGGTTTCAGATACCCTCCTAGCTACAACTGACTAAAGGGACTTCTTATCAATGACATTAGGGGCCATAGTTCGAGAGTTGCAAAAGTTAGAGTATTTTGAAATGAGGACAAAAATGTAGAAAGAAATATTTATACCTTTCGGATGAGAGGTTACAATAGATGAAATAGTCGGGCAACCTAGAGAAGGCCTTAGTAGACACTCAAAGAAAGTTTGGTCAATTACAAGCTCGAAGAAGTCCTTTGTGGGATAGTCGAGCGCTTGTTTAATCCATATCCTTGACTCAAAGGACAAGGGATTTGATTTTCATGTGCTTAAAAAAGGATAAATATGAAAACCCGAAGACAATACGGGAAATAACTGAAAGGGAATGCACTTACTTGGAAGAGAGGTAGGAGCTGCCAGAAGGAACCTTAGAGGGCCAAACTCCCAACCGAGACCAAAACCAAAGAAAAACTTGTTTTTCCACTTCTTCACATTCGAGGATTAACCTATCGACATGATTGAACCTTCTCTTTTCAAAAAGTAGAATCCCCAAGTCTTGCCTAGAGCAAGGGGTGAGCATGTAGCATTACATGAGCTCAGTAAATTGGTTGCACGCCAACATCATTTGCCTTAGCCCAAATGATGCCCATACCAAACAAAAAACCCCAACTGTTAGGGGTCAATTGGGTAGGAGCAAGGTTCAGAAAGTAAAGGACATCTCTAATATATTTAGGGATTGGAAAATGAAGTTTAGCTTCAAGAATAGACTCATTGAAACAAGCCTCATCAAAGAAAAAAGAATTAGTAGTCTCTTCAGTAGAAGGGACTCGCAAGTGCACAGAGTCAGGGATCGAATATTGAGCCCTTAGCTCTTAAAGAGAGTCCTCATTTAGACAATTGTGATAATTCTTAGCACCGTTAATTTTTAGAGTTGAGGACCCAATCTCTTGGATAGATTCAAAATCCTTGTGTTGTCGCATTGGATTGGGCTACAAGGGTCGAAATACTCTTAGAGGGGGATTGACCAGAATTGTTCGCCATAACCGGGAAGCTGTGTTTGTTGATATATAAATTCGGGTGGAGAAAACAATTAAGCCTGTTAGAAACTAAAAAAAGGCAAAACTCGAGCACGGATGCAAGCCGAGCACTAACATATTCACTCACAAAAAACCCTAATGATTCAAGGCTAGAGTTTTTCCATCTCCAAAAAGCAAAAGTGATAAAAATAAAATTGGAATATATGGCTCCAATCTATGCGCTCTAGATCGATGAATCGTGGTGAAGTAGGAAAACAAAAAGGATTAGTGCAAAGAGGCAAGGGCGTACTAGAATTCCAGTACCTCTTGAAGATAGCTAGAGAAAAAGAAGGAGATCTTTTATATATACTAAACCCACAATGACTCTTTAGCGGTTGCGTGCACTAAACAAACAACTTCACTCCTATTTAACGGGCAAATGTAATTATGCATAGAGTGTGCCATCCACCGGTCTCAGCTAGGGGCAACAGATAGAGATAGAATTAGCCCTAAGGTAACCACGTGAGTGGCTGAGAACGTGAAAACATGTGAATAGCCGGGCACGTGATGGGGATAGCCATGAGGTAAGAACATGAGTTAGAACACGCAATTCGGTGTGATACATTTGCTCCAGGATCCAAACCGCGTATCATCTTGCCGCATCATTCAAAAGGTAGCTGAAGAACTTCAATGGTAATAAGAGCTCAGCCTATAAAGGAGAAAAGCTAGCTACGAGCTAGGTAAGTAATTCGTCCCATCTCAATTCCAACTAATCCTCTTCATCTTACTAACTTAATCATCGAAAGGTTGATCACCATCCTGTCTTCGACTTCTTTGTAGGAGCCCACCAATGACTGTCAAGTCATTAGACATTCCATTGGTGTAGCTTTCAGATCAACACTTACTAAACGAAGGTAGATGGATTCATTTTTTTAAGTGGCCTTGTCTATCGCACCCAAAAAAAAATTTTGG